GATATTAGATATTTAAATTAGGCCTCTATCTCTTTGTATTATGACATCACAATCATAGTGATATTTTTTTCGATATACTAATATTATGTGTTGTGTTAAGTCACTTAAATACAAAAAATAGTTTACTTTAAGTATTGTAGCTTACAGAAGCATATGATACATGTTTAGATTCTGTCAAAATCACCGAAAATTCAGCCGTTTCTAGTTCTATGACATCACAATGTGCCCAATAATTCAAAAATACATTTTTCCAAAAAGTTTGTTAAATTACCTTTACAGTGATACTTTTATCAAGACATATGGTCAAAGTGTTCTCTAGATATGTTCAAAAGTATATTCATGGGCCTTAATGGTGACAACATTGCAGTTACCATGGAAACCAGCATTTTAAAGAATTTTCTCACCTGTTCCGAATTGTTTTAGTCGTCAAACATATTAGTGCAGATGCTAAGCTTTCCAACGGTACCATGATTTGCCAGTAACCTTTTCATCGATATATTAAACATAACATTATATTGTTGAGGATTTTTTAAATTATCATTGAAAATGTATAGATGCCTCAAATATATCTTGATTTGTCAAAAATCTCGATATTAGATATTTAAATTAGGCCTCTATCTCTTTGTATTATGACATCACAATCATAGTGATATTTTTTTCGATATACTAATATTATGTGTTGTCTTAAGTCACTTAAAGACAAAAAATAGTTTACTTTAAGTATTGTAGCTTACAGAAGCATATGACACATGTTTAGATTCTGTCAAAATCACCGAAAAATCAGCCGTTTTCAGTTCTATGACATCACAATGAGTCCAATAATCCCAAAAATACATTTTTTCAAAAACTGTGTCAAATTATCTTTACAGTGATACTTTTATCAAGACATATGGTCAAAGCGTTATCTAGATATGTTCAAAAGTATATTCATGGGCCTTAATAGTGACAACTTTGCAGTTACCATGGAAACCAGCATTTTTAAGAACTTTTCCACCTGTTCTGAATGTTTTTAGTCATCAAGCATGTTAGTGCAGAAGTTCAGCTTTCCAATGGTACCAAGATTAGCCAGTAACCTTTCGGAGGTTTAATCTCTTCAAATATTGCCGGCTGCTACTCATCTACAAGGCATTAGTGTTAATTTTTAAATATTAACATATTTAAGCAGCCATGTCACATTGTCTTATGTGGTATTTTAAGATTAAGATGAGATTGAATATTTTTTGAACATTATATTCCCGGAATGTATACTTTACGGATTCATATGTTTGCAATTTATCTTCTGGACAATGCCTGTGTCACATTTGATGCGATTCATCGCCCGGCGCCAGGCCCATTAATTTTTTTGTTCAACATAGAATATATTTCTGAACAAAATACTCAATCGACCGGGCGCCGTAGTGAACATCGGAGCAAATGTGACCAAGGCATTCGGCATTTTCTAGTTTTAAATTTTTTCTATTTACATGAAGACTTTTTGATATCGTTCGGCATCTATGAGTGTTCATTGGAGCAATATCATCTTTAGACGGATTGTATTTACGCGAATCCTTGTATCATATGATGACCTCTCTAACTCAGCAACAAACATGGCGTTACGTCATCATTAAATTGGAAAATGTGAACATGTGGAGTGACGGAAAATAAAGTCAGGTAACAAGTCTTACTCTCCCCTTCCGTTCACTCCGTTAAATATGAATTATTTCCAATATATTCACTGTACAAAAAAGCTACATGTATATAGTAAAAGCATCTCCTGTTAACTATTAGTCCATGGTATGAAATTTCTAGGACGTCTAATTAAGGAGTTGGTGACATGATATACGCGCAGCGATATTTGACCTTATATTTAGATACCTTTTTATTTTTGTATAGCTGTGATAAATACGACGGGCTTTTTGGCCGAATTATGCATGGCATTAGAAGGGATCAAAAAACATTTAAAAAGTATTTCGTATTTTTCACAATTTAAAGTACAAACATTGAAAGAAAATCATATGAAAATATATTTAATATATACATCAAGTTTCTTAGATATAGTTTTGCGTATGTGTTCCTTAAAATACCTTTACGTACCAGGTCGTTCAATAAGTTCACGGAAAAAATGCTCTCATTTCAAGGATTTTTGATATTTTCTCACGAAATTTTCACACACTGTATAAAAAATACTTTCTGATTGATCCTCAAAATATCAGCATCTCTTATTTGATTGGTCAAAAATGAGGGTTACTATGGTAACTTGACTTTTGGGTAGGCGGGGCACTTTTTACGTCATATTATTCATTAGAAAAACAACAGAATAGTTGGCAATTTATGAGTATATCACATGAATTTATTCTCCGCTTTCTACTTGTACATGGTATTACTTAATGTAATAAAAATAACAACTATTGTCCCATGAGGTTTTAGAAATATTCTCCCTCATGTTTAGTGCACAGTAGGTTGCATTCAAGCCATTGACGAGACAATGCTCTGAAGCCATCTCGAAAACTTGTTTGAAGGGCAATCTGGACTGCAGTTGAAAGTAGTTTCATTGTTTCATAAAGTGCACCTCTTAGCTGATCCTTCATCCTAGTAAAAACAGCAAAATCAAAGTCTGGAGAGTATGTAACTTGGGGCAGCTTTGCCATCTACTTTGCAAGTTATGTGATGGTTTCCTGCACAACATTAGCAGTGTGATTGGCTGCATTATTCTGATGGAAAAATTTAGAGTTTGGCTGTATGGAATATATAATCAACTTACCATAGCAATGATTTCCTGGTCCACTGGTACAGCAGTGACTAGCACGATTTCAGAAATTTTCCCTCAAAATTACAAATATACATATACGATTGTTTTGGTTTATATCACAAGCCAATTTGGGAATTATGGTTTTCCAAAAGTGTACAATTTATTAATTAATAGTCTATGAGCGCCAATGATATCGTTTAAAAATATGCCATAAATCGGTGTTCCTGCATAACCGTGAATTTATTGCTTCTCTCTGATGTTAGATGAATACAAGGAGGATTGGCAGCAAGAGTTCAACATCGATATTTTCCAACACAGCTTCCGTCAGTCCTGGAGAAAATTTGAATCGCAAGTTTAACTCTTAGTTCACAAATAGTTATAAACTATTTTGAATGCTAAAATATTACTAGGTAAATATAGACAATAATGACACCATATGTGTTGGATAATATCGTTCATTCGCCCCGCAGCGGTAGAAATATACAGGCACGATCGGCAATGTCGCATTCCTTTGAGATTAAAGAATATCGAGTTGGAACTTTGGCTCCTTTGATAAATAATAATAACATTTTCAAATCGTAGATCGTACCCTACTACACTTATACGATAGTTGAGGAACACATCCAAAAATGAATTTAAATTGGGAAAAATGAAATATCTTTCGAAAATCTTCAGTATTACCGGTAGGGTGGCCATAAAAGAGAGGTTTCGGTAAACGTTTTCAGGTAAACTTAAACTGCAACTTCAACTTTAAAATGACGAAAACCCCACTGGGAGGATATTTCTCGAAAAAACGACATAAGAATTTTCCCTTGTTTCCTAATCGAAGGAATTGATTTATGAATATCAAATTCGTATACCATTTGCAACTTTAAAACTGTATTTATTGTAACATGTGTCAAATATCTTGGTCTAAAATAAAATACTTATATGATAGGGATATTTTATTCTCAAATTGACTTTGGAGATGGTTATTATAAAACAACCTGAACAAATACTGGAGGGAGAGCTTGTTATGCAGCCAATGCAAATGGCTTGCGCCATGCATCGCTAATGCCTGAGTCACATTTACTCCGATCCATCGGCCAGCATCCGACCGATTAAGTATTTTGTTCAATATTTTATTAAAATTTGAACAAAATACTCAATCGGCCGGGCGCCGTTGTGAAAATCGGATCAAATGTGACCAATACATTACACAGATTAGATTGATTAGTTTATCAAAATTGTAGTCAAAGTGTTTGATCGAATACTTTACACATTCAGTCTATTAACTATAGATAGTGTTAACGGTCACTTGGTCGACACACACATGAGTATATTTTGGTTAACGTGTAGGTCCAATTGCATAAGTTTACCATCATCGTGTATATGGCTTTTTGCATCAAGATACAGTACCCCCTAGTGACGTACAGGAAGAATTAACAAAATCGGAATCGGTGACCATGAATCCTTAATATCTATTTATTCCCGAAATGGCGGCTTTTGTGAGAAGTGGAATTTGTTGTCTTAAACAGCGAAATAAATGATGCTTTTGAGCAGTTTAAGTCACGTTTTAGGGCTATAATTGATCAAAATGGTGGACATATTGAACATACTAAACAAATCCCTGTTTTGAATACTCATAAACAGTATTATAGACAGCAACTGCTTTCTTAGATTAAGCGGCATGATTTTGAGTTGTGTTGGGTTATAGTGAAGTTATTATCCAGGGGCATGAGCATCTGAACATCTAACTTGTAAATTGTTTATTTTCTATTTTTTGGTATATACTAATTTTGTTTGAAGGAAAACAATCAATGATATTCACTTTTTATTTTCAGAATTGTATAACACAATTAAATATACCCAGACATTGTTTATGCATATCAAGATAGTCTTTTGTAATATGTATTATCGTATTAATATGTTTTTCGACATTGTCATGCGTTCCAAGTGTTAAATGTTTTTAACAAATGAATATAATGTGTAAAGATTTCTTTACCCATTTTTTATAATCCTTGAAACCGTCTCTTGTTGGAATTCTACCTAACTCCAAAAAACTTCAATCAAAAAAACTTAAATTGAAATCTGTAGAGCAATATCAATATAAAAAAAATAATACTAAGTGTTCCAAGTAATAAAACGTATTGTTCTTCAACAGGACATATTGAGGGATTATCTGTTTTTTAGGATGATAAGAGTACTTCAAACGTATCTGACCGATCTATATATAAATTAAGTGTAATGAGGAATTAATCTAACTGCGGTTATATAACAGAACAACATCATCTTTTTTTAAAGTAAAAGTGCCACATTATTGTATTTACATTATTTCAATCCGGTATAGTAAAACTGTGATAAACATTTTCGATAAGCCCTGCAAGCCTTTGATACATCATCGAAATCAACTAGATTGATCACTCAGTTAGTTGTAGGTAACAACCTTCCAAAGCACAATAGTCTTATGTATTGTTAATTTGAATAGGACACAATATGCACAGAATCGCTTGCCTAGAATAGACAGTTTGTGGGACAGAAAATCCAAATTGGCCATCTACAAATTTACCAAGACTGCCATAAGACAACATTCCAAAAATATTCAGATGAATCCATGATATGCTTTGGCTTAGCCTACCAGCCTTGCAAACTGATCAGAACAAAACACCAAAGGATGCGATAAAAAGTACAATCTATGAGATGAACAATCCAGCCAATATTTCATAGCTTCGTTGATGAAACAAAAAGTGGCAGGGCTAATTGAAACGGTCTCTCATTTCAACTACATCCCCTTCTGTCTCTGTGGCCATTTCGTTCAATTTCAGTCAAGGATTAATTGCATCCGCAAAACTGAAGACAAAAACAAAAATTATATATGGTGTATTGAATCTTACTGCTTGCATGACATGATGTTATAAAATAAAAGTTCAAAAAAGTGGATAAGTAGACAATGAGCGAATTGTTGTTATGGTGCACATCCTAAAATAGTGACATTAATTTTGTTGACACGATATGTAATATGCAAATATTTTGTTCGGTTCAAACAACTAATTTTAGGTGGTAGATACACAATCGGCATGATGCTAAACTGGATCTGAGTGAAGCATACTTACACTTCATGAGTTCTGCAAATTCTATCTTTTATTTTAACAAACAGGTCATCTACATCATACTTCATTTCCGCAACAAAGTCCGTTGTGCTGATGACATCTCTTTTATAGTTCTGATCTCCGACCAATCCTCTGTAAAATTCGTCTTTTTTACCTAAAACAGTAATGGGATTTAAATACAAATGGGATTCATGAGAACGTTGATGCACACTAAACACCCGTACGTTCCATTAAGTTTTTACATATATTCATATAAAACGAACATGTTAAACGAACTTTTAATGATGTATGATACTCCTATTTGCAATAAGAGTTCAGGTGGTAATTTACATAAATATCTCCCACGATGAATCACTTTGGAAGGGACAAATTTTCATTGGCCCGCCGAACATGTCGATTACTCTGAACGTTTCTCAGCTTATGATCTTCCATCAGCCCTAAAGCATTGTTATATGATCCAATCTATTCAGTAATCCGACAGATAATCGGAGATTCAAAATAACATTATTTATATTATTTCGATCTTCGATGGCGTCTGAGCAATTTCTTGGATATCAGTGACGTCACCTGAATTGGACGGCATTTTCAACTACAGATTTCCTCGGATTTGGGGATTATAGTTCAAAAAGCCTTGTCATATATCTTAATTACATACATACCCATCGTTTGTGCAAATTAACCTCTACATATAAATGTTTAACAAAGTCACAGTGTGGCATTAATAACAATGGCATTTATAACAATGTGTGCAAGTTTTGGGAATTTTTCTCGTCCAAAGAACTCTTCACAGTCCAGGCCCCAAAATATTGATAATCAGAAATTGGTTGTTGGCTAATAAGTATGTAAGCACAAGTGCCAGGGAAGGGATCAGTATCTGTGAGGAAATCTAGCAAGAATGCTAACCTGTCATTACATCAAAAATAGCTGTAGATACTCTAGTACTCATAGAAGAATCTGTCACTATTAGTGTCACTATAAATAACTTACTGTATAAATCAAATGTATGAACATGTGTTCAATTCTTATGAAATAATAAAGGTAATAGTGTTAACTCACTGATGACATACTTATTTTGAAATAAAATCAACCCAAGAATATGTTATCAGGCAATTCCAAAAGTGTACCATTTCTTTGCCAAATTTGTGTATTTTTCTTTGAGTTATCATTTTTCTGAGGTTTAAGAAAATATTCACATTCAATATTTTTATTTTATAAAGATTTATGCATACCTTGACGTTTGTGAAATCCCGCATCAGACAGCCATTTTGAATTTTTTGAGGCCCGAATAAAAAAAAACGCTACAATATTTGCAATCTACTTTAAATTGCTTTTCATTTGAGTATAATAAAGCTACACTTCAAAAACATCTCAAAATAAATGCATATAAATAATAAATTTAAGTTTTCCCAACCCCCCCCCATTTACGACCCCTGGGGGTCAGGGTGAAAAATCCAGGATATATGTGAAATAGATAGATATTGTTAATATACTACCAATATTTCAAATAATAATGTTTCTTATTTTGGTTTGAAATGAAAAACGTAAGATTTTTGCGAAAAATTCCCAGCATTTTTAAACTGGCGGCCATCTTGAATTTTTTTCTTATAACTGTTCACCAATATACATCTTTCCACCAAATATGAAGAAAACCCGTCTACTAGTATTCAAGTTATCTTCTGGACAGACGGACGGATGGACTGCCTGACTGACGGACGGAGGGTTTCACTATATCCCTACTGAACTTCGTTCGATGGTATAATAAACTTTCCAAAAGCCGATTAATGGGTAGATAATCTTTGTAAACTTCAAAAATATTAAAATCTAATATTTTTGTTGACCCCTGTTAAACCCCTCAATAATAAGTAAACGGTAATGTTGACAGGTCCTCAACAGGTGAAAATGTATGTAGTAATATATGTTTTATCATTTAAACATATCAAAACAATTGGCGGATCAACAAAAAACAAGATGATGTTAAAAGAAAGTGAACTAAATGGAACCATTATTTGTAATCATTTTGAATGTAAAATATAATCAGACAAACGATCTTATTTTCAATTAAACAGATAAAATCAATAGGTCATGCTAATAAGCTTCCCAAAACCGATTCATAAGTAGATAATCCGTTGTAAACTTCAAGAATATCAAAATCTAATATTTTTTATTTTTGTGAACCCCAGTCAAACCCCTCAATAATAAGTAAATGGTAATGTTGACAAGTGCTCAACATGTGAAAACGTATGTAGGAATACACGTTTCATCATTTAAAGTCATCAAAACAATTGCAGGATGAACAGGAGGAAACAGCTTAATTAAGGCTTATCTGAAAAATTCCTTTATCCCTAAACTCGCAATCTGGTTGGCTGTCGCAGAAATCATGTATAAGTCATTGCGCATAATTAGATCACGTGATTCAGTTTAATCGGGCGCTTCCAAATTGGCTTTAGCAGGGGGAAGAAGGAGGTACGGATTCTGGATACCTGCTTAGGAGGATGAATTTCTCAAGACAAGAGCAACTATACAACAACACATTACAATTGATACAAACATAAACTAGACATTCATAAATTAAGAAATAAACACTGAATTTTTTATAAAGGTTCAGGGTGCGTATATATGAAATAAAAACTTGAATTAAAATTGATCACAAACATCAAGAGCTGCAAAACCTGCACAAGTTGACTCACCGGGCTAAGTTTCGGACACAAAAATTACTAAGGTGGTGCACAATTGCATTGTCCGGTCATTTTGTAGCTGATGTAAAGATACATGAGCACTTACGTTTTTCCTCATCATTTTTTTTAGTTTTCCTTTTTGGTTGCTCTAATGCCAGAATAATGAAATCTGCTTTTTTGTCCTCTTTAATTCGGTCGCCCCAATATGTTGCACTCTGTAAGATAATTTCATAAATACCATGTATCACATTAGGTAATGTTAGGCACTGTCGTAAAGTACATTATAAATGGTTAATAACTAAATATATATATATTTTAGAAGAACAAGTCCATTCTCCCTAATAATTCTAGTATTTTTGTCTGAAGAACTTTAGACTAGTACATACACTGTGGAGGAACTCGTAAAGCGAGTTACGTTAGCGGATCAGTTTTCGTAACCGAATTGCGCAAATGATTTCGATACGTTTTTTCCATGATTTCGCGTGATATAAGCAGAATCACCACTACCTTTTTTGCACAAACATGTGTCTTACGTTTCAGAAAATCCAAGCTTTCGCGAACGTATTTCCTTGCAAGACTGCAAAATCATCAACATACTTCATCACTTAAGTTACTTAAATGAATGGTATAGAAAGTGCAGCAATTACGAAAACGATAAAAATTATATGTTATGTTAACGAATTGCACCATGATCATTCTCTGGTAGAGTTATGTTTACACGCTCAGTTGTCACTGATTGACAACAATTCAATGCCGAAATAATTTATATATATTTTATATACTGTTATTGTTAACATTTTTGTTTATAGTGCAATTGTTTTTTGTTCCTTTTTACCATTTCTTGAGAATGAAATAAAATATCTTTAAGAAACTTGTTTGGACAAAATAGCATGTACAACATTTTCTTAGACTTCCCAATATTATAGTTGTAAAAACGAAAGGACGATTCTCGGTTTGGAGAACAGTCTCATGGGCTAATAATTTTTTTCATGAAAAATATAGAAATATTACCCAAATAAAACTATGAATATTCAAAAGAGGACATTTAAATCTACAAGATGTAAAAATAACAAATTGGTCTGAAGCAGGGATAACGCTCAATTAGACCAATAAAATACAAGTCTCGATTTGGGGAAAGAAGTTCGTCAGTGTACTGCGCTAATATTTTTTTGCAAAAAATCTAGAAATATTACCAAAATTAAATTATGACTATTCAAGAGGACATTCAAATCTATATTATGTAAAAAAATCGAATTTTTTAAAATGTTGAAATCGTTTATTTGGAGATATTACGAACGAAACTGACATGTTCGGTTCGTGAAAGACTAAAGTATCTGTCGCTAGCAAGTGGAATCGGTTTCAACAGATTTAGATTTCAAAAGTTATGACAACTTTTGTCATTTTTTCACGTTTTTGTAAATGTAAACAAAGGAGGTTGGGGCCCTAAGGCTTTTTTATGATTCTATCGACAGAGATGTGTTTGGTGTCTATAAAAAGTAGAATCAATTCCCCAGAGCATGTGCTATACAGTATCGCCGTGCGAACTTGCTGTGAAACAGAATCTCAATTTCCGTAGGACAAGGTCACCATTTTTCATGAAATGGTATGATTTATTCCGTATTAATGTCAATGCAACCACTTATACGGAACAGTCTAAACGACACCGTGTTATGTATTGGGTATAATCAAACAAAATCACAAACGTACGTTGTCAACTCTACTGTACGGTGCCAGTGCAATTAAAATTCACGAGATGTAATATTAAACAATGCAATAATTCTATTTCAAAATCCATTCAGGTTTTTTATGAGTTACAAGTTATGTTTAACTAACATGTTCAAAAATCCCTAATACATATGTTGCTAAAGATAAGATAAATGTGATTTTTAGATCATGTTAAAGTGTCTCACATATTCGATCAAAATTTGCCATGGAAACATGTTAGTCTACTTTACTGGCCCCCCCCGCTGTAACAAGGAACCCAAAACACATTAAAACGTAAACATAACCAATTAGTCACTTCACTTTGAAAGTGGGGGTGTTAGCAAATGTGTATTAGGCCATAAGAAGTAGATTCTTTGTTTTGCGTCCTGGCAAAATCCAAATCATGCAAGGGTACAAGGAAAACAAACACAAACTCAAGAAAAAAACACAAACTTGTTTGCTGAGAAATGTATACATTTTATGGGCATAAAAAGGGACGACATACCAATTTGCAGTGATTACAAACACATATCTATACATTTTATACAATATATTTAAACTTCAAGGGTAAAAAATAAGAAAATGCACAATGTATGCCAAAATAATTATAACACTGTCAATTTTGACGCGCATCAAATTATCCGCCATTACGTCTGATTCTGATTAAACGAAATGTAATGGTACTTTCAGACCCTTGTGATTGCTATTTTGATGTGTTTGTTTTTTCTGATTTACTCAAAATCGTGCAAGCAAGGGGACGCAAAGCAAAGAATCTACTTCTTATGGCCTTAGCAGAATACGCTGTGTGCATGGACTAACACAATATCAGTGGTCATTTACTGTGTCAACTTAGTAACCCTTGCATATCGTGCTCACTCAAGTATTGAATAATTTTTTTATGATCTAAATGTTTGTGGTTTATAAAAAAAATGTGATATATTTTAGTTAGAAATACATTAATTAATATATTCATTCAAACAGCACTAGCACGCGAGAAGAAAGAGCAATGGTGACAAAATGCAGACAGAATTTTCCGTAAGGGTTTCAAACATTTCTGAACACAATCATACATGTGCTTTATGTGTACTGTTATTTTTTGTGCTGTATTTATAGATATAATTTCACGTATTAAAATCATATTTTCCAGACGTGTCGCAAAAAGGTGGCGCATTTGTTTTTTAGGGGTATCGCGTGAATGTAACTTTGATTCCCCGGATTATAAAATAATATTCTAATTAAAGTTGTATATCATTTTAAAGCTGTTTCGATGAAGTTTTTAGATCAACTACAGTCCGTTCACAATTCTTGCGCGTTCTTTTTTAAAAAAGAGTTTTTTACCAAAACATCTGGCAAATATTCCCTGTTGACACGTTACATTTTGAATTATTTTTCGTCTTTAAACGCTCATAACTCAAACAATATATGACCATTATACTTATTTATCGTCTTGATAAAGGTAGATAGAAGTTTTATTTCAAAGGATGAATTTTAGTAAGCGTCCCATATTGTGACGTCATAGAGTTTGAAAAATAGAATCTGTTGACAGCGACCTTTTCTGCTCATTTTTTTGTTCCTTCAACTTTTCAGGTGTACATTAAACAAAAAATACGAGATCAATTTTTAATAAATCATACATGATTATTTTGCTCCTAAACTCTAGTTTATTAATAAATAGTTGATTTTGTTCGCAAAAGTATGTGTTTTCTGTTGTATGTGGAAAAGTGGAGGACGAAAGGTTTTCAAAATTCATCAAAATAGGGCTAATTTACGCCATTCGCCTATTTTGAAGCACAGCAACACGTATATTTATTTCACTTAAAATATCAATTGATTCGTGTTTTATGATGCTCCTAGCCCATTAACAATATATATATGATATCAGAGTTATTCGTCTAAAATGTTTTGAGATAGAGAGGTAAATGTGGAGGACGAAAGGATTTTCATTTGTGTACATTTTTCTCAAAAACGTCACATTCTACCATGTTAAAAGCGAGGATCCTCTTGATTACGCCACAAAATGTGTAACAATGCGTGCGCGAGCTTTTTGCGATACATCCCAGCAATGACTTCAAATTCGGAACCACACCCATATCACATTTTCTTCAATAACTCCAAACATGTGTAAACATTGACCATGAGCATATAAATTCAGATTTCACGAGCTCTTTCCTATTCGAGTACCTCATACACCCCTGCATGGATTTGAGTTGGATTCGCCTTTTATACGTGAGCCGACACACTCGCAAACGCTGATTGGATAAAGATTGCGAGAATCTTTAAATGCTATTTAATTTTTTTTGAGAGTGTTGATGTGAAGATTAATATGTGACCACGGGGTGTTAGCTTCCAACCTCTTGATCATTTGGCGTCTGTACATTTAAGATATCATAATTATCTAATCGAAAACGACATTTTAAAATCCCGTTCATGCTATAAAAAGCGGAAAGTGCAGAGGTTCAATTGTTCAATTGTTGAAGTAATACTTGGTGGATTTACACTAGCGCGCTAAGACGTCTTAGCTAAAACGTTTTAGCGTTAAAACGTCTTACAAATGCAATGTAAATCCAGATTTACCCAAGAGCTCTCGGCTAAGAGCGCTTAGCTAAAACGTTTTAGGACCCTAGTCATAGCCAAGACGTCTTAGCGTTAACACGTTTTACAAGCAAGTGTAAATCCATCGGTTTTAGCTAAGAGCTCTTAGCCCGGTGTTTTGCGTTGCGCCGAACGAAACATTTGAAACTTTCCATTTACATATGTCGCATGGTCCTTTATTTTGCCTTATCCCTTGTTCTCTATATCATCCCAAAATTATTGAGAAGAACTTATTTGCCTGGCGATTTATCATAATCCTAATTTATGCATAAAATCTTCCTGCTCTCTTTCATGCTTTTAACAATGCTGGCTTTAGGACATATTTATCTGAAACCGATGCATTCTTTATTACAAAGTCGGGTACAAAGTATAGAAGCGGGAAAGGAATAGCTACATTGACTGAACTGTCCTTCAACCAGTATACTTAACTGTTTTTTTTTCATTTTACATGTTTACCTACATATCTCTAAGACGTTTTAGGAAAACAGGTGTAAACTCGATCTTATTTCCTAAGACGTCTTGAAAATGGTAATGTAAACTCAACTTAATTTTTCTAAAACGTTTTAGCCAAAACGTCTTGAAATGCTGCGCGTAGTGTAAATTGGGCTACTGACATTGTTCAGTTTCAGTTTTAAATATATTTGACCCCCCTGTCAGTTATTATTATGAGAAATACTTTGCCTACATTAGGGTTACCTATGAATTGATATAGATAAGTTCGATGGGACAACGTACATCGAGTTGACAACGTACACGAATGATATTTATATGGTAGCCAAAACGTAAATATTCATTTAAGGTCCACGTGCAGTATAGCAAGTGATTTCACCATGAGTACTTTCTGGGCATAAATACAATATGGTTTTCATTATTTAACAATATGCTTTGGGAATTATGATAAAAATATCAATCAAACAATTCGAAAAACTATAAATAAGGACCCAAGGTCAACATTTTTTTTCAAATTGTTGAATTTATTTGCTCAAAAGAGGATCTTCTTTTTCTGATTTTTATTGCATGAAAAGATTATCCATCAAGGGGTCTAAAACATATTCAAAAGTAGAATGGTTTTGAAAGTCTAGTTCTGAAGTTAACAATTTTCGATGACCAAAATCATGATGAAAACAATGGATATCATGAGTTTTCCCTATGGAAAAATATCATAAGTAATGTGGTTTTTAACTTTATCGCATTTCAATACCGATCCCATTTTCAGAAGTTATTAATATAGTGTAGAAGAAACTTTTGATATATTTAAATTGAGAAAAACAAGATCCTATTTTTAGAAAATAAGCCTTACATTTTTAAAAAAGTGACAAGGTGGGTCCGACTCCATAACTTTTCAAAGAGTTGGATTGATATTTTACAGTCATGGGAATTTCACTTTTAAGAAAACATATTGTTTTAATGAAAACCACTGTATGTATATCCAGAAGTACTCATGGTGAAAGATATGGCTGTCTAAAATACTTGCCATACTGCACATGGACCTTTTCAACCGACCTTAATTGTGTAACTTAGAGAAACATATTCGCATAAAAATAATGGACACTCTTAGGCGACAGGGAATAACATGATCAAAGGAAATGTGAAAAAAACATTTTCCAACCGATCAACTTTTGTGGGAAATTTACTACTGAAAAAATTGAGCACTGCTAGAAAACCTTTTAATATGATCGGAATACTAAAAGTCTTCTCTACTGAATACACATGAAATTAAACGAGAAATCCTTTGTGTATTCCTCAGATTAATTGGGTAAAACCTAAATCACACCTACATCATAGTTTTCGATTCAAATCAGTTAATAGCATCCAAAGTGTACAGCGGTATATTTTGGCACCGTGCGTTGTCGATGGTCAGGCGTGATTATCTTTTCATTTCTCGTGATTCTAGCAGGAACTTGCTCGTGGTGTTTAAATCAAAGCGGGGCTTTGGAACATACCAATGATTATTACACGTACGTAAACAAACCTAGGTTCGAGAAGCTATGAGTGACCTTTTTAACCAAGTCAACATTTGACATACACCAGATTAAAACCTACAGTCACGACTTTATGTATTATTGTATTAGCTATCACAGTTTCCTCATTTCTGATAATTTAAAAAGCATCACTCAGCGACACGTTATAAACGTACTTAATCAATTCAAAATTCATATAATAGTACTCGAAGTTACAAACAATATTGGCGGCCAAGCCAATCAAATCGAGACTTTCTGCATCGCGTTTTAACCTGTATTATATGGCATATTCCGCAGTTGAGTATGATATATTCCGCAGGTGAGTAACGGGTATTCAGTGAAATAATGTATGGCATATTTACTGCGAAATACACCATACTCATTGCAGAAACGCCATATACCATAGGTGAATATGAAATATTCACCCGTATCACAAATGCCGCACAACCATGAATGTATGCCATATTCCGCGAAACAATATAATTTAAAACTCACGAGGTGTATCAAAATCTTCTAAAGTAGGTCAAATGATGTCAAAACTAGATTATAATAGCATAGGAGGGGGTTAAGTTTTGTTGGATTAAAACAACATTTAATATTTTCTAAGCAAAAAAGTTATATTTGCACAATTTCAATTGATTTCTCTGAAGAATATTCAGCAAAAAGTCAACATATTCAAAATGTCACATTTTCTTTTTTTTATATAATATACCGATAGAGAAATAAAAAGTGCAGAGAAAATACTTTCTACTCATTTTTGTCCTTCATCGTGTTTTTACATTTGACAATCATACTAAATTGTTGTTTTGTGTGGTGAAGTTGAGATAAGAAGAGATTTTTTCAATGCCATTTTGGTAGATTAAGTAGTACTTACTTTTATTGCTTCTTCCGTTGTTATACAATCTTTAGCTCTCTTTCTACATTCGTCTTCTGGGTATTTCCATTTAGGGCAACATTTATCATTACAACAGGAAAAAGTGAAGCCGTCCGTAGCTAAGAAAACCAATGTTGGAATATCGGGCCTCCATCCATTTTCCTCTGTCAATATTCTGAAAACACAATTAAGATTAAAGCAAACATTGTCATTGATGTCGTTTTCATCCAATGGGTCGATTGGCCTATATCACGAGACTCGGTATCTTCTCAAAATGTTTAACAAGACCCAGAGTGAACTGAGAGGGAACAGAATTGCCACCTTGAATAGAATACAGTTTTCGGGACGGAAAATTCAAAAAGGTCACTTACATTATTTATAAAGACTGCCAAAAAATCTATCTATTTATCCAGTTCAAGATTTTCATACAAAGAGTCACCCCTAAAAATCTGAAATTGAGACGTCACATGGTTCGCCTGGAAATTACTTTACAAATATAAATTCAAAGACGGAAAATGGCCACCTTAACATTCACTCAGAATACTCAAAGCTTTATAAGTTCCAGATGTCTGTACTATGAGTCATCTCTGAAAATTAGAAATTGATCTGTTAAACAATATGCCTGAAAAGTTTAAATGCCCAACACTTATCAGTTCTTGATATCGATGTCAAAGAATAATCCCTGAAAATATGAAACTTGTCCATCTATTAGTTCGCCTGGAAACACGTAGACAAGACTTAACAGACAAGATTAAGGACGGCAAATCCTAAATTGAATTTTTTTTATTAAATCAACCGTGTATAGATACATACATACTTACCTCTTAAATAATTTACCAGTCCAACGCCCCTTTTAAATGAATAGAATAATGAACTTCATATTCATGTATCTTTTTTCATATTAAATTGTGACTATTCAAAACATGATCATTAAATTGATGATATGTAAAACTTTCACATTTTTTTGATAAACAATTTAGAGAAACATTTGTTTAATTCACTTCGCCATATCGATACCAATCCCTTGGATGTTGTTGGTAGAAAAAAGCATTGCCAAAATACAAACGTGGTAAGAGGATAGTAATTTATCTTACTCATCATGTACCACTTTCAATGCTCGATCTGTCCTTGTTCCAGCGCCTGTCCAGTTCTGCGCCTTATTCATGATCGAGAATTTTGTGTTATCAAAACTTATAGTATCCTTTAGTTGCTGTATCACCTTGACATATTCGTCAAACGTCAAAACAGCCACACGCGAAGCATCATTGTCTACACAAAGAGAAAGAAAATGTGATGAAATTTTAAATTGCATGTACATATCACACATTCGTTTATATCTTCTACAAAAGTGAATCAACATTGTAAATCACAGTCACGTAGTCCCAGCGTAACAGGGGCAGCAGTCCGCTTGGGCTTGGCTATTATTTCTAGAAACGTAACCTCCGATTGGTTGTCCTAGTCGGACGTATGTTCCCAACCATAATATTTATAAACTGTTACAATAAAACCGACGTCTTTTCCAGACGGACTTCCATTTCTGCGAGAGGAGGATAGGAGAATGAAGTAATGAATTATATGACTAAACCCGATTTTGTGACCTGATTTCGTCGGAAAAACTTGAAATATAAGAGTTACGTGGATTTTAGGAGTCTTATTTACCCTCTCTAGGTTAGAACAAACATTTCAATTAAACCCGATTACATTCGCGCGTCAATCAAAGAACATTTACCACAATATCCAAGAAGTTCCGAAAGTTTCGATAATATAAATTACATGATATTTGTGAAAATTAAATGTTTGTTCGTTGATTTTATAATTTACAAGTGTGTGTATTCTTCTATACTTTGGTCCAAATTAAAAAACATCACGAACGGGTCCTACTGTATAAATACACTGATACAACAGACGACCCAATTATACTTTCGGCGCAGAATTTCATTCAGACCAATAGCTCAACTGTGGATCATGCAGTTTCTTCTATCTTAGAACAAGCCATTCTCCTCTACTCTGTCCTAAACTCGTCTACAAACGACCGCAAAAAATTCTTTAATATTCTAATTATTTTCACTTCAGACATGGTTTGACGATATGCCATAAAATCAAAGTTCAAGGTCAATACATTATTTCGTGATAGGGGCAACGGCTTCCCAGAAGTAAACACGAGGAAAATTGAAAAGTCCAAATAAAGGACCCACGGTCCTGTGCTCACACAGGTTGGAACCTTCAGAGGAATTTATATCCTGACTTTCAAACAAAAATATTGATTTGGATTTGTAGTCTCGAACTTTGAGAAACTTAGATAGCATAGTTGTGTGACCTAGTTTGATGACCTTTGACCTTGACCTTTTTGACCTTTCGAAGGTCACTGAAGGTCAAGTAAAGGTCAAATCCTAAAACTAATGTCAGATTTGAACTCCTGGCAACTTGTAGATGATTTTCAAAAAAAAGATTTGGTCAAATTGAAGCAAGTTGAAAAATAACTTATTTTTACTGTTTTTAGACGTCAAATATCTCAAAAACAGTAAAAATTTGATGCTGACATATATTGAGAAATATGTAGGGAATGCTTAAATCTATTAATGATGTAATTTATTCCAGGAAATGATCAAGTATAAGGCTAACTTTAAGAATCTTGTCAATCACAAAACCTGCCATTGACTTTATACATGAGAAAGTTTCCTGAAAATGACTAAGTCCTACTTTTTTTCAAATTTTATAGAGTAAACACCAAAAACCGTAATTCCAAGAGCTTTGAAATCTTCAGAGGACATAAGTTGCATATACACCAACTACTAAAAGTTATTTGAAAGTTCCACTTCAACAAAGTGTCTAGTATTTACAGAAAATTTGACTTTTTGACGTCAAAATCCGCAATTTCTCGGAAACCGGGCGAACTTGGGAAATGGCGATGATAGGTCAAATAGGCATTATGGATATGCATAAAATTAATGTGGATATGACTCAATCCGAATAGCAGTTTTAATTTGTGCGGCCAATGTTGACGGACGGACGGACGGAAGGAAATAACATGGGGTATCTGGCGCGTGCCACGCGCCTTTTACCCCATAATGGGGTATTAGGCGCGTGGACATGGGGTATCTGGCGCGTGGATGGGATATTTTGTACTTTTTGTCCGTCCATTTTTCAGAATGGGGTATTTGGATCTCGTGAGGGGTAACAGAGGACGGACGGCTCATTTTCGGATTTTACCGCGTATTCGTTCCATTAGGCAATTAAGTTAGAAAATTAACGAATTTAACGTATTTTTACGAAAAATAGCGCTAGTTTTATTATATCATGCAATTCTCAACTTTTAAAGGGCTTTTATCGTTTAATAATGTAGATATTTCGAAAGCCATCTTATTTTCAATGATACCTAATAGGAGACTGCAGATCGACATTAGCAGGAGGTGGTGTACTTTTGCCAGACAATCGAATTTAAAGATAATTATTATTTTGTTGAATCTAAAATAAGAGATACATGTAAGTCTAACTTGCTCCAACAACTAAAAGCATTCATTAGGTTCATTATTACGGCGTCACAATAATTACTAAAATACATTAACGTCGTGTTAAAAGACGATTCTGTTCTAATTCTGTTCAACTTAATATGTGAAATAAAATATTTCAGTGAACTGAAAAATGAAATATGCAAAATATATGCTCTGAAATTGCTCAGAATGCATCAAATGATGTTTGATTTTCGAAATTTTCTGGAACCAGAGACCCCACTATTTTGCGCTCGTTCCTGGCTAACTCGACGCGGTTCACTTCACTCATAGCCATTATCAAGCACCCCTCCCCCAACATAAAATCCTTTAAGATAAGCTGTGATGCAAAAGGACTTCTCCTAGGGGAACAAATTAATACTAACAGTAACTATAAAGCTTCCTTGAGGAGACAAAATTAGAAATGTTTTTCGTTTAAGAGATAAAATCATACAAGACATACACTTACATAAGGTGACGTTTTACTAAGGGCAAATAAAAAGATACTAAAGTGTTCGGAGGTTACAAATATTTACTAGCTTTAGAAATCATATCTCCAGGGGGAGTAACTAGAAATGTTTACCCTGAAGGGTACATACAGTATTAAAACCTCGTACCAGAAAGGTTTCTCTCAACAATAAACACAGTATGGCTAGATACTTCCTTGGTCACATTTGCACATCAAATCACAACTTGAAGGCATTAGGGGGAAGAGTTGCCAATATTAGAGATTTAAAATGTATACAGGGAATGGCCTTTCAGAGGGAGACAAGTGAAGCTAGATATCTGCTCAGGGAGATAAACTGATAGACTAATTACTAGACTAATAGTAGATTGATTCCTCCTTATAGTCTATCAAGGAGTACTACTGTACTTATAAGTGACTACACCATAAGATTTTTTTTAAAGTTCACAAAAACACAAACTGAAATAAATTAGATGATTGGGTAAAATGCATATTTTTATTTGTTCAAGTTTCACATTTCATTACAAATAACAATTCAACATTTGTAACAATTTCAAAACATTTAGTATTTTTATACAGTATAGCTAAAAGATATTCACTGAGATGTTAACCAAATATTGGCAAGATTAGAAAATCTAAATCCCTAATCTACAGGGTGGGCCAAAGAAAATTGGAACGTCTTTTCCATTCATTGTAAATTTATTGTTAGTCATGTATTATCTTCAATACATGTACTTGTAGGAAATTGAAAACAATTTATTGTCAACACCTTGTGGAAAAATGAATATACAAGCTTAAAACATTTAATCATTCAATGCAAGGGTTTCCTGAACATGTCCTCCACCCACCTGAACAATCAGCCTGAGCAGTTTTTGACATACATGGCTTAAATGATAGGTTTTGGTACATTTTGTGCCAGTTTTGAAAAAACTGAGGTCAGTTAAGCTAAATAACCCAAGGAGGGCATGTCTAGCTACTCCTAAAGATAACTACATATGTTTAATTGATGGACATTGTGTTGAGACTACATGTATTTCCAGCAGTGACGTCTCAAGCAGAGAAAATTGGAAACTTTCCATGACCATTAACTGATTTTTGTGTAATATTAAAGAAAATATTAAAGAAAATTGAGTAAATAGAAAAATGGTCCAATTTTATTGGCCCACCCTGTAAAGTGATGAAATTATTAGAATACACTTTAATCTGGTCTTATACATGTATTGTTCTGATTGGATAGGAGGCTCGGTAAATACATTAATTGTGTTGAATATTCTGTATTGCCATACATGTAGCTCTGGTGAAAATAATATGGCGTCTCCTTTCGGAAATATTCTTTTTTAAAAAGCATATTTTTTGAAATCCACCAAATATTTTCCTTACTATAAAATATGTAAGCTTTACTCAAAATATCTAAATTGAACAAGGTGCAAACTGTATAAGAGAACAATCGATTTTTCAAGAAAGGTCTGAACAGAATTTATCAGAATTATAGTTCCATGAAAAAAATAAATCAGATGATTTGCTTTCATAAGATATTGTGATATGGTTCATTCCATTGATAGTGAACATTGGTGTACTGGTGAAGTTCCAGCAATTTGATTTGTCCATAAAATAAAAATTGATTAATAAAAATGTATTTTTAAATTTTGCAGTGAATAACAGTCATGGTATACCATCATACAGGGCAATACAAATATCTAAAAACACTTAATGAACCATTACTTGTATCTGAATCTAATTCACAGAACACTACACAAAGGTTAAAGGAAAGGATTTGAATAAGACTTGAGAAAGTACATGTATTTGTGAGCTTGGCCCAAGTGCCCAATCCTCTCCGACCTCCATGTAGCCCTGATGCTATCCCAAATTGCGCACCGTTCATTTACTTTGAATTGAAAGCCCTCAATGACACATGCCCCAAAACTCCAGGCTAGTAAAAAAAAGCTGTACAGAAATAATTAAACATGATGTTAGATGCATAGAACACCAGCAGAAAATAAAGTTATTGAAATTCCAATAAACAAACATTGAAAGGATCAAATTAAAATAATTGATTTGAATGTCAATCAATGACACTCCAATTGCTAAGATTCCTGAGCTAGAATATTTGGAATGTATAGTACAGGTATCCCCAAATTATAGGAGTCTCATTAAAAGACTTTATATCCATTTTAAGACACTTTCATTACTTGAACTTCACATATTTGGTAAATTACAGTATTCCTTAAGAATGTGTCCATTGCTTAATAATCATTACAATTATTACATTTGTCACTAGCATTAGCCTCCTAGTGCGAGGCAGTGTAGCCTCTTTT